TGTCCCATGTAAGATTTTTGTCGATAATTAAACCAAGAAATTTAGTCTGTTCAACTTGGTCTATCTTGTCATTGTTTATACAAATTTTTGCTTCAAATTTTGTTGTTGATTGTTTGGTTGAAAAATATATGAAGTTTGATTTATTTGCATTTATAAGAAGATTTTTTTCTTTTAAAAATTCATGAGTTACTTGAAGATTTTTTGAAGAAGATGTTTCAATTTCAGAATTAGAATTTCCATTTAGCAGGATATTAGAATCATCAGCATACAGACACATGGATCCGTCACTCCCAGGAATAGTCCCAGGCAAACCTCTAATATAACAAAGAAATAGTAGAGGGCCCAGGATCGATCCCTGGGGGACTCCATATCGTAGTGTCTGATGCTGTGATTGAATTTTTTCAATGTAGTTTATTTTATAATGTTCTATGATGTCATCCACTTCAACAAACTGGTGTCTATTTTTAATGTAGGATTCAAACCATTTAAGTTCTTTACCACGGACTCCAAGTTCATTTAAAACGTTAATTAATTTATTGTGCGACACACTGTCAAAGGCTTTACTGAGGTCTAAGAATATTCCTACCACCTTTTTCCCTTTATCAATTGCATTTATTATAGACTCTATAAATTCTATACCAGCTGTTACTGTGGATTTTCCTTTTCGAAAGCCATGTTGCTCTTTGTCCAGTAACTGATTGATTTCAAGATATCTAGACAGCTGAATATAAACTATACGCTCATAAATTTTGGAAAAGGCAGGTAAAATTGAAATGGGACGATAGCATGATGGATCTTTAGGATTACCTTTTTTAAATATGGGAATAACTTTAGCCAACTTTAATTTGGATGGAAATATGCCTGAAATGAGAGAGGAGTTTATTAAATGTGTTAATGGTTTTGATATGAAAAGTAGTGATTTTTTAATTAGAGTAATTGGTATTTCATCATGCCCAGAAGAAATTTTATTTTCAAATGACAGCACGACTTTTTTAAGATGGTCTTCTGTTATTGTTTCAAATTTAAAAACGTTTGTCATGGCAGTCACTTTTTTTGGGGTGAAAATGTTGTGATTTGATGTTGAATCAATGTTTGGCAAAATAAGCTTTTCAACAGCAGTTGTAAAGAAATTGTTGAAAACATTACTCACAGCAACAGGATCTGATATTTGGTTATCATTTTGAACTAAGATTATTTTGGAGGGGACAGTTTGTTTTGATTTTAGTGAAATCTCATTTTTTATTATATTCCATGTAGTCTTTGTTATGTTCCTAGATTTTCTAAATTTATTTTGGTAAAATTTTTGTTTAGCACTGTTTATGGATTCCTTTAACTCTTTTTTCTTTACTTTTATTGTTTTATATAACAGTGAATTCCTTTTTGCTCTAGTATATGTTACTAGTTCATGGATTTCACTTTTTTTCCTTATTATTTCATTTGAATTCCATTTACATATATTTGATACTTTTTCTACACACATCATTTTGGGGAAATTAGTGTTAAAAATGTGACTGAAAGTAGACATAAAGACATTAAATTTTGCATCCACCGAAGATTGATAAACATCATACCAGTGTTCATTACTTAAGTCCCTAAGGAACATTTTAAAATTATTTTCAGTATACTTTCTGCATAACCTCTTCATTACCTTTTTGTTTGTACTGTTAACATTTTGTATTTCAAGCAATTGAGCATCATGATCAGATACATGAGTAATAACGCCTGAGACATATAATTTTGTTTCAAAAATGCTGGTAATGAAGTTATCAATTGCAGTAGCTGATTTATCAGTAATCCTAGTTGGAAAGTCAACCCTATAAGACATGTTATATATATTTATGATATTTAAAAATTGATGGTACACATTATCATGATTTAAAACATTAATATTTATATCACCTGCTAATATGATGTTCTTGAACCTTTTTGTTAATAAATCTAGAGTAATATCCAGTTTTGCTAAGAAAGGTTGGATATATTTATATTCAGGAGTTCTATATAACCCTAACAATATAAACGACATACCATCTAGTATGATTTCAGTCATACAGCACTCAAATTCTTTCTCCAAAATAAGTTTTTGAATTCCTTTAATATGTACTGTTTTAAAATTTACATAGTTACTAGTAAGTATTAGAACACCACCCCCAGTGGTTGAAGATCTGGTCCAATAGGATGCTATTTTATAATTTTTCAGTTTAAAATGAAACAAATCTGTCTCTTTCATGTTAATTTCTGTTAGAATAACAATATCTGGCTTAATTTCATCCAAGTTTACTTCCAAAATGCCTATACGGGTTGATAAATTTTGAATATTTTGATGAAGAATTAGAAAGTTTTGAGTGCTGTTTACAGAATGTGTTAATTGGTTGCTAGATCTTGGCCTATTTTTCTTAAAAAAGTGGTTACATTATGACATGATGTATTAATAGAATCACAGGTTAGGGGTAGGGAATTCAAGACAGGAGTGAACAATTGGCAATTTAAAGGTACTTCATTCACTGCACCAACACTATCACAACCCCTGACAGACAGCCCCCCATCACATGACACAGGCGCTGGTGACTCCTCCACAGGCTGGGTCATTTTAGCGAATTTCCCTATAGGGAAGTAGCTATTACCGTAGGTGGCACGGTAAGACCTAGAGCCGGGACCGATTTACTTTTTCATTTTGATGTCCCCAGAGGCCAAAAACACTATTCGTTCAAATTTTTATATATGTATATATATATACGTCCGTGAACGCGATAACTTGAGTAATTTTTGTCCGATTTTGATGAAATTTGGTTTAAAGGTGTAAAGCGTGATAAACTTGAATGAGTTCGCGAACCAGCACGATCGGACCATGGGAACGGGGCTTTACGGGGGGTTTTATGGGGTAAAAATTGGTTTTTCTCACTTTTGACCCTTAAAACACAAAATTTCCCAATTTTTCTTTAGACCTTTTTAAAGAGCTTAAAAAAACAAATAATTTAGTATATAACAGTATTTTTGTTCGATTATTAGTAACGGAGAAAATTCAAAAAATTGTAAATTTAAAATTCCCATTTTATTCTTATGGAGAATATTGTTAAATGTTGTAGTTTGCTTGTTTATGAATATATTTTGATCAAACTTGGCAAATTTATTTATTTTGTACTAAGCTATCAATATTTTACTCAAAAACACACTTTATTAGTTTCCTTGTAGCAGCAAACCTAGGTACTCGGTAAACCTAATGTTATTAAAATATATTTAACTGAAAATCAATTCAGACAAATGGAAATTCGCTTAGTCGGCAGGTTTGCTGCGGCGGGGGTATTTTCATTTTCCTTGGGCCAAAAGAAGCATCTACTTGATCCTGGTGATCTCAAGTCTGAAGTAGAGGTTCTACAAGCTGAAGGGGTTGACACGTCATCGTTTAATGGGCTACTTAAGGATGTTTCCATAGCAGATGAGTGTTCCATGGATTCCTCTACAATTTTAGTCCTAGTAACTGAAGCCAATTGAAGTTCTTGATTAACTGGTGAAGATTTAAACCATTCTGCTTCTTTACCTCCTACTCCTAGGGCTCTTAGTTTTTGTAGTAGCTGGTTGTGATTGAGACAATCAAAGGCTTTGCTAAAGTCAAGAAACAGGCTGGTCACTGAGCATCCTTCCTCCAATTGGTCTATGACATGTTCTGTCAACTGTATCAGGGCTGTTGTTGTAGATCTACCCCTGAGGAATCCGTGCTGTTTATTCGTGAGTAGGCTATGCCGTTCGAGATGGCTTAGGAGTCTAGCAAGTACAATTTTTTCAATTATTTTTGAAAATGTTGGGATCAGGGATATTGGCCGATAGCTGCTAGGTTCACTTCGTGGCCCTTTTTTATATTTTGGGTATATTTTGGCGGTCTTTAGAGCAGTTGGAAAAATTCCTTGCTGTGTACAATGGATCTTTTTCTGTCAATCTTCCTACGTCCAAGGACGTAATTGGGGAATCGTCACTCGAACTGCAGAAATTGATTACTTATACACAAGACTCCACATGTGAAATATAGTTATCCTCCAACTCCAAGAATTCATCCTTTTGTATCTGTAGGCGTGATAACGCATCAGCTAGATGTAAGTTAGCTTCTTTTCAAAATTTAACTTCACAATTGTATGCTGCCAGAATGAGAGCACATCTCAAGTCTTGCTGCAGCTAGGCTAAGCACACCACGGCTTGATCCAAAAATAGCCACTATAAGCGTGTGATCTGTCTGTAACACACAGTTCTTACCCCCATAAATATATTTGTGGAATTTCTTGAGACCAAATATCAATGCCAAGGCTTCTTTGTGTAGCTTAGCTGGGAATAATATTTCTCACTAGTGCTAAGAGTTGTGGATGCAAAAGCTATAGGCCACCCTTCTCCATCAATAACATGAGACAGAATGGCTGACACTCCCCTAGGGCTAGCATCACAGTTAAAACAAGTGGCTTAGACACATCATAATGTACCAAAATATTGTAGTCCAAAACCAACAATTTACTTTCATTAAAAGTGCATGAACACTCTGCGGTCCACTTCTAGGGGAGATCTTTCTTCAAAAGCTCATAAAAACTACTGATTTCGAGAACTAATTGTAAATAAGCTTTCTTTTGTAATTAGTCAAACCAATGTAGGCCCATAACTCATCCCTTATACATGGTTCTGGTGCATTTTGAATAGCTGAAACAATTCCTTGCTTTTCTGAGGGTTGATTCCCTTGGGTCACATAGCCTAAATACTCAACCCTAGGCTGTATAAATGTACACTTGCTCTCATTTACTCCATTGTTAACAAGGGTTGTGTTGTGACTCCTCTGCTACTGCTAACTGCTGATAGTCATTAGTGAGGTCAATTACTGAAATTATGTGCATCCTAACGAGGCAAAAATATCTTCTGGTTGTGGTTCTGTTTGCAACACAGGGTTTAGTGTTACCTTAAAATCGGCACACAATCTTACACCATTCGGCTTAAGAACCATTATCTTATGTTATCTTTATGTTTTACAGAAGTGAAGGTGGCTGGACACACAACAGAGTTTGTCAACAAAGTATTGGACAAAGTGAAGCAAGGCACAGCGAATGGAGGTTTGGATGACCTTTAAAGGATTTATTTATACACTTATTTTTCATTATGATTATGAATTAATTGTTATTTTAAGTTAAATATTTGTAATGGTTTTTTCAGGAAAATAGATCTTACATATAGATATCTATATATTTTTATGGAATACTTGTTGATTTTTGGTTGTTTTACATTTGTATTGTAAAACAAAATTATTTATGCCTAGATATTGACGTGTACAAAATTTCAAGGTTTTGTATATAATTTACAAACAGATTTTTTTTCATACATTGTAATTTCTGTAGAGAAATCGTTTCATATCACAAGTTATTCTGAGAGCAACTTACAATAAAAAGGATCAAAATTTAATCATTTTAAAACTTAAAATTTGTACCTTTTTTAATGTTCATGACCAAGTGCTCATTATTTGAGAGATGCTGCAAAGGTTAAATGCTTCTTTTAAAATTTATATTCTTCAAATATTCATTATAGTCAACACATTATTCAATTCAATAAGTTTTAACTTGGATTACTTACGCTGATTTAATACAATTATTTGTGGGATTGTATAGGTTGCCTTGTGGTATTTAACGATTTCATGTGTATGCCTTTAGTTCCTTGCCTTTTTAACTTTCTGTGATGGTTTTCGTGAATATAAATAATCCCTATGTTAAATGTTTGTGTGTTTGGGTGTTCATTGTTTGCTTATGAGTGTGTTGTTCTACTGTGCAAGTGTAAACATTCACTAAGGATACTAAAACAAACTTCTCATGCATACCTGATGTTTGATACCTACTGTGACTCCCCTTACACTTACATAAGGATTGCCCATCCTTTGGCACTCTACTTTAATTAGTAATCAATGCAAACATTAGTGTTATTGGAAGAGATGAGATAACACATTCCCATCAGATCTTATAAAACAATATAAATCTTTCTTTGGTATCCTTAGTCAATGATATAACAATTACAGTACTCTAAGATATTCACCTCAATTGAGTTGTGTTGATGTTTTTTATGTCTTGACCAAAAGCTGAAAGCATTTGTACAATATTATGATAATATGATATAATTACTTTTAGTTATAAGTTAAAATATTGCATAGTTTTAGTTGGATAGTTAATCTTTAAAACAAATTATACTTATTATAATATTAGTCCTGTAATTATTTAATAATTGTTGTAATTTTTTCTTGATGTATTTACGTACAATATAACTCTTATTGAATGCTACATAACTCACAATGTGTAATAATTACACAATTTATAAAAAGTAAATTTACAGTCTGTAATAATTGAAAATGCATTTCATCCTTTAAAAATACTGTATACAAAATGTAAAGACAGGGCAGCTATTGGGAAGGAAACGCCAATGGAAACGGATTTTGTGGTTTCAGTTGTAATTAAATAACCTAAATATCCCCATAAACTCAACCTATGCCGACCTTTAATTATTACCTTGAGATGTTATATTTACATAAAAAGTATTTTTGTTTCCTAACTTTGTTTTTCAAATACCCTATGAAAAAAATACAGTTCATCACACAAAAAGTGTCTTTTCAACCCTCCCTCATTTCCCGATTTCAGATTCGCTCGGTCATTAAACAGCTCGGTTCAAAAAGAGTCACTTTACACCATAGTGATGAAATATACTTTATTTCACATAATTTTTGCTGTTATTCCCAAATAGGTTTAATTTTAATTCTTTTCAGTCATTATATAAAACTGATAGATAGTAAAGCCTTAATCAAAGCATTTTACTATGTGTTGTATGTAATAGAATATATTTTAAAGATTGCTTTGAGAACAATTCAAGATTGCATTGTGGTAGGTGCTGTAACTAGCCGAATGACTAACCTGTTTGAGATATGGAAGAGCCTTAAATCAATAAGAGCACAATATTTGTAACATAAATACAGTTTTAAATGCACTTAAAACTACAGTTGTTATATTTTTCAAAACCTTGCTATTTGCTTTGTTAGTTTTAGCATAGACAAAAAGAACTAAGTATAGGCAGTCAGCAGTGCTGCGGTTAGTGTAAGTTCTGGCGTTCACCGCTGCGAGCGCCGTGTAGTTGCGACGCACAAGATACGTAACTACACGGCGCTCGCAGTGGTGAATGCCAAAACATATGCTAACCGCAGCACTGCTGATGGTCTATATTTAATTCTATTTGTCTATGGTTTTAGATACAGATTTGAATATGTAATAACTTATTACTACTACCATATGAGTTACAATATTTTTGCTAGTTGTGAATGGACTCTGCTTGAAAACCAAGTTTTTATATTGTTGTGTGGTAATTAACACTAATGTAGTGTCTTATGCTAGTACATAAAACCACTTATTATAAAGAATATTATTTTTATAATCCCTTATGGAAGATACTTGTAATATATTCTCCTCTTTGACATAAACTATCTATCTTGGCTCATCAACACAGTGTCTTGGCTATTTTTCTACAAAAAGATGATTTAACTTCTGGACTACCGGTACAGTAGTTTTCACAACCATGCTTAATTATCAGGTTTCAATAGTAGTATTAACATTGTATTCATAGTATTACTTTTAAGGATCTAATGTTGTGAGTGAGCCACAGTTGCTGTGGTTGTTTCTAGATGTGTACATTCATACAGTAGTCATAATGTTAGTGAAAGCTGCTCAATTAATATAGTCACTGAATCTATAAAGCCTGATTAAAACTTACCATCTTTTGTTCTCATGATTGCTACAACAGTCAGTTGGTAGATGTTAATTGGTCTGAAGGGATTATTGCATGGCTCCTTTTCTGACCAACAGATAACAATGTCCTTATCTTACCAAACTATGTTACCGAGCCAGATTACCACATAATTCATCTCGCAAATGCAAAATATGTAAAATCTTTACTTAATTTAAGTAAATCATGTACAAAGAGCACACTCAATTGGCCTTTAATTTGTTAACCATTTATAATGTCGTTTTTTTTATTAATAGAACTGTGTATTTTTAATTGGACACACTGGTTATCAGTTTTGGTAAATCAAAATTGAATGGATCTTTTATAAAAAAAAAATAAAGTAATCATAATCACTCAATTCATCCAAATTTTAGAACCAATTAGAGATTTACCAAGGTTTCCTTGCTATAAACCATCCTGCTTAATCAGCTGATATGAATATGGTTACTGTTAACAAATTGTTTGTATGAATGGAATGGTCTTCGTTCATTCTCATACGTGACTTCAGAGCGTACTCCTAGTTTGTATAATTGGTATGTAACATAGTTAATAACACCTAACTTTTTTGTTCCATCCATTAAAAGGTTATACCAGGGGGCTTACCCTTCATTGATGTATCAGCCGATAGTGAATGTGTTAAACTTGCGGTTTCTATCAAACGTAATAAACTAATTCATTTAGTACCTTTAGGATTTTTATTATGTTTAAGCATATTTTAGATTAATAGGTAGTAAAGCCTAAGGAAAATACACCATGGTAAAAAAAATACTAGTTTTTGATTTGGCCTAATATGTAGACACTACTAGTTAAAAAACAACATTATTTTTATACATATCATGTATATTGCATTAATATTCAATGGAGTAATGTCAGGCGTTTTACTTGTTTTGGAAATCAACTTGAGCCTAAAACTATTTCTTAGCTTTAGGAAAGATAATTATTTTGTGAACTGAAAATATTATTTCTTGTTTAAGTATAAGTAACGTTACTAAAGCTGTTGTTGGTTGGTAAAGTTTTTAGACTACTGTTTGATCGAATGAAATAATATTTTAACGTTTCAATAATGAAATACCGGGTCAATCAATATATATATATATATGGGAATATGATGGTGAGTTTTGTAATTGTTGTTTTCTTAACTTCTGAGGGTTTATAATGTTGGATAAACAAATATTTGCTCAAACATTTGTTATAATACTACTGCATATTATATGATTAGATGAGTTTCCTCTTATAGTTCCAAACACATAGGCTGCAAACCAAGTATAAAGACAATATATACATTTAAGTTTATTAAGAAATTGTGCACTAACTAAAAGTTGTGTATCAATATGATTGAATTTATGTTAAGCCTATTTCAATAGTGTTGTATTGAAACAAGTTGATTTTGCCTAATCTCTGCATTGCTAACTTTGATTTTTTTAAGTAATTCCTCTTGAATGGTATCTGTATTGGCTACTAAAACTCAGTAGAAAGTTAAGTTTATCATTAATTATTACAAGTATATTTTCTATAGTGATGTGTCGATACCAAAATGTATCAATTCTCGATACCGATCCCATTTTTTGCTTTATACCAAATTTTCTGAATGGATTGGTTATACTACACCAACTCCTGTTTTTATGTCCCTCCATGAAGTATTTTTGTGGTAATGGGGTGTTTTTCAAGTAAAGAAAAATCTATGCAGCAATGATATATTCCAACTAGCCAATTTGTCAAACCCTTAACAAATTAAAAAGTACTATATGGATAAATGAAGATCTAACAGTAAACAAATATAAACAAATGTAAATTGGTTTAAAATAAAGTTTTTTTCACAGTTTGAATTTAATTAATGCAGTTTATGAAACAAAAATAAAATGATATTATAGAGGTGTGCTAGTCTGTCATTTTCAGTCAAGCCAAACTCGATGTAATATCATCGCCAGCGGTCGTGGAGACATCATCTCCATCTTTGGCATCACTGCAAATTCCAAAATATCTTCCTCAATTACGGACACATCATCACGTATTTGTGGTCGCTGAAAAATCATGAACACCTCCTGCAGCCGTGTGGACATCATCATCAACTCCCGCGGTCACAAAAATGTCATCGTCGTCTTTCATTCGCGGCAAAATAATTTAACATCACCCGTGGCCGTGTAAAGATCGTCATTGACTCTTGCTGTCACGGAAACATCATCATCATCGTCGTCTTTCGCAGTCACAGAAACGGGATGTTCGTCTTCCGCGATCACGGCGAAATCATGAACGTTCCACGGTCGTGTAGACACCATCATTGACTCCTGCGATCATGGAAACGTCATCTTCATCTTCTGCGACCGCTGAAAAATCGTACCCTGCAGTCAAGTAAAACTCGTGAACATTTGCCGCGGCCGTCTAGATGTCTTCGTCATCTCACGTGGTCACGGAAACATTGTCTTTGTCTTGCACCTTCGCGGTAATTTTCTGATTGCGCGGGCGTGTCGGGTATCATATCGGAATCGTCTTTTGAAAATCGATTCTAGATACCGATAGCAACGTCCAAGTATTGGTGGTTCGAGAATCGGTATCATGAATCGACACATCCCTAATTTTCTAAAACAATTATTCATAATACTGATCAATTTTACTGTTTCTTTTAGATACAGGATTTAAAGTAACTGGTTAAATTACCAATAACAAATGTACCTAAGTTGATTTAAAATAAAGTTTTTCCTACAGTTACCTAACAATGTACATGTTCTCTCACTGATTTGAGAAAGCAAAGTGGCCAATTCGCTCATCAGTGAGACAATGTTAACATTGTCTCACTCTAATTACTTTGTCTCACTCCAGATTTTCAACGTGAAGGCACGAAATAGTGAGCGCGTAACATGCAGGCAACGTCGTATGCGCGAGAAATATGTTGGCAGCACTGGCTGTAAATCAGCTGGTCAGCTGTTGTACTGTTGCATTTGTCACTTCAAATTAAATGTTATATTAAAAGTTCACTTCTGTGTAAAAATAGGTTATGTTTCTTCACCAATTTATTTATTTTATGGTAACTGTAGGAAAAGTATAATGAGCAACTCGAGTTCAAAGTACAATTGCCTCACTCGAGAAACCATTCCTCACTCGCCTACGGCTCGTGAGTAAGGATTTCTCTCGAGTGAGTCAATTGCTCACTTTTCCCACTAGTTGCACAAATAACTATTTTTTCACAGTTTGAATTTAATTAATGCAGTTTATGAAACAAAAAGAATATCACACAGCATTTGCCTTCTCTCCACTTGTATTACATAGTTAGTAAACTGAAACTCTTTCATCGAACAACAGAGTGGTAGATTATATTTATTTTGTTTAAATATTTTTGTATGAATCACATTAAGCTATTATTAATAACATGTAGCCTATTATGGTTTTATGATGGATGTACATTATAGTATTTTGTACATAGGCTAACATTTACCAGTCACTATGTGAAGAATTCAATTTGGTATTTAGCTGCGCCAGCTATTTTAGTGTTATTTGTACCATAAGAATGCATTGTTATTTGTTATATATGTACATATATATTATATGTTATAGAAAGGTGATTGATTAACTTGCTGTTTAGACGGTTGTAAATCAGCTTAAGGTAATGGTATGGAAACATTACATTTATCTGTAATTCCTTCCTGTAAGATTGACAAATGAATGTTTATCAATTGAGATTTTGACTGTGTGATATTTTGCATCAAAAATTCTCTTTTTACAATTCCCTCCGATTAAAGCCCTGATACAACTAACTATGCCTGCTATAGTAAACACACCTTGAGACAAAAGAACTATACAACAAAGAACTATAGCCTACTATACATTAATTGTCATTTTAAATACTAATGCAATTTTAAAACACAAATTTGAATATTTTTGTTAGTAAATCAAGATACTATCTCATATACTGATAAGGGATTGATTTTCAGTGTATGACTGCAACAACAATATCTGAATTGTTTTAATACCTCCATAATTTGTAGCCAATTATTCCTTGGAGAGAGTGACACAAGTGATGTGTTATAGTGTTTAATAGTATTCAATGTATGTTTCTGTTTCCGATAACATGAGGCTTTATATATCACAGGTTGATGTAGCGTACTAGAATGGAAGAAACTGATACTATTTTTGTGCAAATTCATATCTTACTGAAGTTTTTTGGAGTTTAGTTGTTAAATTTTCTATACAAATTGAAGGACATAAAAATGAGCTATGGATTGTTAAGCTTATTAATTCACTACTAACTCGACTACCTTACACCTAAATTTTGAAAATACCGTACATTTAACTGTTCTATTTCAACAAAATATACTATAAACAATAAACATATTACTAAGATTTCATTGACTAATAAGGGGATATCTTCATTGAAATGTCTTAATAAAAATGGCAAAGCATAGAGAATTATTTGTGACATTCTTAAGGAATCACAATCAATTTAATAGTATCACTATTATTGTTTTGTTAATACTATTATTAAAATGTGCCTAGATTTATATGCCTGTTAAATTATTCAGATTTAAGGATCTTTTAAAGCTTTTATTCAAAGTAAGTTTTTGTACTTTCCTAAAAAACCAAAATACTTGACAGCAAACATGAGTTATAACAAAAGGTGTATCAACTGTACTTTCACTTGCCAGGTACAGGGATTGTCTAGTTTCCTCAATGATATATTCTTGGTTAGAAGAACAAAATTACTGTATAAGTAGTCCTGAGAGATTGAAAAACATTCTCTCTCCAGGCCAAACATTAACTTGGATGCTATCAAGTATTGTTCGGGTAATATTGACAATTGTATTCTTCTGTAACTATTTTGTTGGCCTACATGAAAAATGAAAGTGAGTGATGCAGTGCTGCAGAGCAGTTTTACTTATAAAGACACAATGACTTTGCATTACAGTAAGAAGTGTACAAGTGACGGGTTGGTATTTCATTGTTGGTCAGCTGATTAAAAGCTGTAAGTTGATGTGTTCAGAATGTGATATTATTTAGTCATAGGTTAGACCGTCTCTGTTGCATTAATGTTGCTTTCTTCCATGTTTGTAATAACAAACAGTTACCATTGCTCTGGCTAATATTGTTTCATGTCATAATTTATATAAAATGTTTAAAATCCTAGTGATGTGTTTGTTTTATTTCATGAAACCTGTGACATTTGCCTTTTTGTTATTGGTTTTATAAAATGTTACAAAAAAGAAGGTACGATTTACATTTTTATTTAGCTTATTCATTCAATTTCATTCATCAATTATCTTAGTAATCAGTCATATGATACCCGAAGACAAGACATTTTCCAATACCCCACTCATCTATTACTTATTTAATACGCAAGCAAGTTTTTTGTAACAATTACTCCTCTGAAACTACTGAACCAATTTACATGTTTTTGGTGTCATTGGAAAGAGCTTAACGTGAAGTTGTGCAGGAAACTTTCTTTTTAGGGAAATAATTAGAGAGTGAGGCCCTGGGGCCCTTTAAAGTTTCGTATTTCTCCATAAGATTAACATGGGAAACAAACATTGTTATGAAACTCCAGCCGTTGTCAAAAATTAAAAGTGAGAAGAAGAACATATGATAATTGTAAACAGTCAATAAGTTGGCTAACCAAACAGTTTGCTACACAAATTTACTGATTTGGTTGAAATTAAATATTTACAATTTGAATTTGGGTTGGCGTAAATATTACACTGGAAAAAAGCTAGGGTGCCTGGATAAATTAATATACTAAAAAGAAAACTCAATTAAAACTGTGCTGCATTTCTTAGTAATCATAGAAAGAGCCGATTTTCAAACTATGGTAAACATAGGAAAGTCATAGAACACCACCAAGGAGAAGAAATAGAAATCATGTTTTTTTATTATTTATAATTGTTATTATGGACAACCTAATGCGGCTATGAGTAAGGCTATTTGTAGAAAACACTAAAAAACAAGATGAGCTTTTGAAAAATTATAAGATATTCACAAGCAATTTTGATTATATCGATCTGTTTGGTACATCTTGAGTATTTCCATAATCTTTTCGAATCTTTTAAAGTCATCAGAAATTATGACTGTTATTAGTTTTAAAATAACGCCTGTAATACTTAGCAATTTCTCGAATTCAAGCATACGGGTAATTTTAAAATACCCCCGCCGCAGCAAATCTGTAGACTAAGCGAATTTCAACTTGTCTGATTACATTTTTACTAAAATATTTCCATAAATAAGACATATTTATTCCCTATTTAAATAACATTAGATTTAACGAGTGCTTAGGTTTGCTGCTACGGGGAAGGTAAAAAGTGTTTTTTGACCATACATCAATAGTATAGGATGAAATAAAAAAATTTGCCAAATTTTATCAATATATATCCATTAATAAGTAAACTACAACAATTTTCAATTTCTCCATAAGAATAACATGGGAATTTTAAATTACACTATTTTTGAATTTTCTCCCTGACCGTTACGCATACAACAGCGCTTCAATATACTAAATTATTTATTTTTTTAAGCTCTACAAAACAGTATAAAAAGAAATTGAAAATTATTTTATTTTTAGGGTCAAAAATGGGAAAACCCCATTTTTACTCCATAAAACCCCCCATAAACCCCTGTTCCCATGGTTGGCTTTAGGTTGGAGCTCGTTCGCTGCGCTCACTTGCCTTCAGGTTAGCTCGTTCGCTACGCTCACTCACCTTTTGGTTGCAAATTAGCTGTTGTCATAAATAAAAAAAATAATAGTGCTGCACCCTGTTGGTAATCCTTGTAACTTTGAAGCTATTGAACATCATAGAACAGAACCAACTTGTTTAATTGAAACAGCTGTTAAGATTCATTAATTCCTTTTAAATATGAAAAATCATAAGGTTAACATGGGGAACTACAGAGCCACTGGGGCGGAGCCCGAAAAGATTTTTGAGATAAGAATATGCTTTAATGTTAATCGGGAATGTGAGCTATTTCAGCCCAATCCGTCCAGTAGTTTATGCGTGATTGAGCAACACACACACACACAAACACACAAACTTTCAGATTTATAATATTAGTAAGATATAAAGCCAAAATAAGTACCCATGAACTTTTGAGAAAACTACAAGTCACACCCCCATAAACCATATACTTAAAATGTTCGTCATGACAAGAAACCTTGCGCAAAACTATCCATTATTTCTTAAATTGCCCTATAAGGGCCGGACTACACGAGCGTATGAAACACCGCCGATAGTACGCGCAAAAATGTCTAGGACTACACGAAGCCGACAATCAGCAGCGTATTGAACGCGAGAACATTGACTACACGAGCGTATAGAACGCCGCCGACTGTCCTCGCCCAATGTGGCTGACATTTGGCAATGAATACACAAACTATGTAGTTTGGTAACTATAGTTTGTGTATTCATTGCATTTGGACCGTTCCAATATGGAAACGATACTGTACAAGTCGGATGTGTAGCTGGTATGATATATTGTTGCAGGCTGTTAAGAAGAAACGTCGTGCAAAGAGGCGTTGGTAGTCACACCCAACATTATCAAGTTGTTTAGTAACAGGGCAGTTTCAAGTAATGTTTCCATAGAATGTAAAAATTTTTCAACAAAAAACCATTTTAAGTGTTATAAGACGTTTCTTTTATTTAGGTTACTTTCCGTAAATTTAATAACACGTACAATGCTGATCAAGAAGTTACAAAAAACAATAAAAAAACTACTCCAATTACAACAAGTAGTGCAGAGTTGGACTTGCCAAAGTGATGGGAGGGATGTATCAACCAACGCGCAGGAGAAATGCTAGTTGCCGCTACGTGTAGTCCGGCGAGCCGACGATCTGCCCGCGTATTTTACGCATCCAGAGGCGTTAGATCTGCCGAACGCCTGAATTACGCGTCCTCGTCAGGCAGACAAAACGCTCATGTAGTCCACATCATATAAAGCTATTGGTTCTGCAAAAAAAGCAGACTGTCGGCGGCGTTTCATGTGCTACGTGTAGTCCGGCGAGCCGACGATCTGCCCGCGTATTTTACGCATCCAGAGGCGTTAGATCTGCCGAACGCCTGAATTACGCGTCCTCGCCAGGCAGACAAAACACTCATGTAGTCCACATCATAAAGCTATTGGTTCTGCAAAAAAAGCAGACGGTCGGCGGCGTTTCATACGCTCGTGTAGTCCGGCCCCTTAAGGTCGTAATTACTTTCCAAAGGGAACTTTCCATATACCTAATGTTAAAAATACCTCAGCTGTATTCATTGTATCATCTTATTCTTTCAATTTATTAGGCCTACCTTATTAAAATCAGGTGAGATTATTTGTTTGTATTACGTATTCTGATTTGTTTATTTCAGCTTAACTTATGATACGGTTAATAACGGTTGTTATTGTTTTTTGCTCTCCCTATTTTTACTTTTTAAAATAATTTTGATTTTCTTTTGAAATGTTTCTTTTCTATTTTTAGTTACTTTTTGTGTGTTTCTTTCGGACTTTCAATAAATTTCATATAAGTTAACACATTAAATGAACGGGACGAACTCTGTCTTAAAACCTCCAATTCTAACCTATCATGAAGACTATAGCTACGCATCAACAAGTCAAAATATCTCTACAGTCAACAATGGTAAGCATCATATTTTAGACGACTCATCGCAGGGCCTGATAACCCATTAGGCTAATTAGACTGGAGCCTAGGGCGCCAGTCAGCCAAGTGTTGTAGGGGGGGTGCCAGACAGCTAAGACTTAAAGTTGGGACTGGGGGCTTAAAGGCCCCATCTAAAGGCCCTAATAAAATTGTTTTAGGCCTAGGTGATTAACAGTTAATTTAGAAAGTATGTATATTATTGTTTGGTTTTTTGATATTTTAGGTTAGGTCTACTTTTGATTTACTACAATCATATGTTTAATAAACTGTAAAATAAATACATTATTTTAAATCAAAAAGTTTTACATTCCTTGAACAACCGATTTGTTACTATTTTAAGCCTCGTTCGCACTAGTGCAGCACGACACGGATTGGCGGCCATCATGGCATTTGTTTAACATTGAACATAAGGCGAAAAATTGCAGGTTGTCTGTTGCCGGCGTCCCTGGAACTGCCGGCATTTTCCACCATATGATCAATGTTAAAAAATTGTGTGACGGCTGCCCGTCCGTGCTGTGCCGCCCTAGTGCAAACGAAGCTTTATAAGGTCGTACTGTGAACTTAGTTTAAACAATGTCTTTGCCTTCTGTATCTATACTCGACAAGAATTAATAGTGCCTATGACTATGTCATATTGTTTAGCTCTTGAATTAAAAATATTATATCAAAGTCGAAAGATTTGCAGTTTTAAAAGTTCCTAATCAAACCATGCATTAATTTATGATCAGCTTTCTTTTGTTTTTAAATAAACTGAATAGTAGTATAATGCCTTTGGTAATTTTTAATTTTTGAATTCAGAATTAGTATTCATACTTTGAAATTTTGAAAGTGGTGGCAGAGAGGAGGGCTAGTGGTAGGGTGGAGGGGGGGGCGCGAAAAAATGTCAGCCTACTGGCGACTAGAGCCTTAATCAGGCCCTGCTCATCGGCACCACCAAACAAAGTTTTTCTCCCAAATTCATCACACCAATTAGAAGTTAGCACCATGGAACTAGAAAACAACCAAGAAGGTGAATTAAGTGAATTTCAACTAGTATCCAATAAGAAAGGTAAATCATCATCTTCCAACTTCCAACACACTACGAAGCGATACAAAACAGTAATACAAAACAGATTTAGTCCTTTAGCATCCACTACCGACAATGACGAAACTGACGAATCTCCTAACTCTTCTGATAAATCTCGCATTCCACCCATTTTTCTTCATGACTCGAACAATTATCAAGCTTTGATCGCAGATCTTGATAAAGTCTTAACGCAAAATTATTTTACCGTGAACAAAGGTAGTACCATCAAAATAAATGTGTCTTCATCCGATGACTTCCATGCACTAACAGCACATTTTGACAATTTAAAAGTACAATATCACTCTTTTTGTTCTCCTGAAAACAAATGTCTCTATGTCGTAATGCGGAACGTCCCAATCTCCCTTTCTGACGAAGAAATTCACACAGAACTTAAACGAATGAATCTGCCAGTTCTTAAAGTTACTAGATTATACAACAAAA